TTTTTTTTTTTTTTTTTTTTTTTTTTTTTTTTTTGTACTTCCCCAAAGTTTGTCTGAATTTTTTCCTTTTTTTTTGTTGTTTTTTTTTTTGCCAACTTGTTGTTACGTTTCTCTATCCGGGCTTTAGGCGATGAATCGCTTTCAATGTGCGGTTCGTTAAACGAAGATGGCGGTAGGGAATCTGTACTTAGCGATGGCCAAACCGGAGCAAACGGTAATAAAAGGAAGGTGCCGAAAGTGTTCTCGAAAGATGCAGTAACTAAGTTCAGGGCTTGGCTCTTCCAGAATTTGACGGTATGTTTGCAAGAAAAAAAAAAGAAAAAACAAAGAAAAAGTTATCAACAAATCTTTATAGCACAAAATTTGTTATCCGAACTTTATTTTTTGATGTTTTTTTTGCAGAATCTCTGCACAGATACTGTAAATGCTTCAACAGCGCTACTTTTACCAATGTTGTTGTCAAGTTGTTTATTTTTTTCTCCTTTATCCCACCTATCCTAATTCAGTCATTCTTTTTTGTGTTTTTTTTTTTATTTTTCCAATTTGTCGTTGTCTGCAAAGATATCTGTCGACAGGTTACATCTGTGCAACAGCTCAAACGAAAATTTGAGTGCAGAAAACAGATTTTATGGTGCAAAAAAATTTTTTTCTTTATTGATTTTCGCACCTTTTTTTTATTGAGGTTTAAGCCTAACAGATGATTATGGCGGAAAGCAGTGTTTGAAAGGAATCACTATTATTACATATTATAATTATTATTGTTATTATTATTTTATTATTAATACTATTGTTGGTGTTGTTTTTGACGTTGAAGTTGATGACGGTAATGATTGTTGCTATTTAAGATTTATATACCATATGATTAAATACGGATATTATACCTATTGAAGAGGAAACCTGTTGTTTTCTTCCTTTTTTTTTTCAGTGGTTAAGTAAGAAGAAAATCAGAAATTTTAATTTTTTTAACACATTTAAAACATGCAAAAAAAAAAAAATGAATTTTTTGGAATCAATTAAATTGACTATTCATTTTATGGCTGATCAATCTGAACAACACCGTAATTACCAGTTTACCATATTTTTGATTTTTTTTTTTCCAATTTTATAGTTTAATTAGAAGTTTGTAAAAGAAATAAAAAGTTTAGGAAACAACTTTTTTGTCTTTTTTATTTTGAAAACATTTGTTAAATTTACCGTTTGGTAGGTGGACTGAAAAAAAAAAAAAAAAAAAAAAGAAAATTGTTTTTGTTTTTACTGATGCTGATGCTATTTTTTTCTTTTTTATTCAAATTTGTAACAAAAAGATCATTGATGCTTAGTGAAAATGATAAAATATTTGTTTTTGGTGATGGGGAATTATAGATTTATAACTTTTGGCTCTCTTAAAATGCGCTGCTGTATATATCTGTTAAAT